GGGGGGGGTTGGCTGAGAAAGATGCAGCAGATGATAAGGGCAAACAGATTGAGAAGAAGAAAAGGGAGATATGGCTGCTCAGGGATAGAAAGAGTAGTGTAAGTAAGGAACCTGGTTCCTTACAAAACCAAAAGGTTGAGCAATTAGGTTTGGAAGGAGAAGACTTTGAAGTCTCAAAGAGTGTTGTTAGGCAGAGTGATGAGTTCCAAAACTAGAATTACCTCGTTATTCCTCCAAGTCCCAATGTTTCTGAAGAATAAGTAACAGGCTGCTATGTTTTATGTGATATTATGATGCTATATGTGCATGGGACTGCGTTTTATATTGATGAGACGAAGCTTAGGGAGAGTCTTAGTGATCTGATTGATGGTTCAACCTACTCAGTAGGTTGGGAACCTGGTCCTCGAGGACCCCTAGTAGAATAGAATGCTAAGTTGAAGGGTGAGAATGAAAGATTGAGGAAACAGGTGGAGGAACTGAGGGAGCAGATGATCATTGTGATCAAAGGAGTAAATGAACGAATGGACAAGCTCATCAAAGCCTTAGCCCCTTACTTTTCCTCCTGCCCAGTGATCCATGTCTTTCACTCCTTCCAAATTCCCTTGAATTCTTATCCTCTTTTGATCCCTATATTTGATGACATTGGTACTTCAGTTGTTTAAATTGTTATATTATGTATTGTTGAAGCTACTGTGCTTTTATTATCATTACTTCACTATGGGCAATCACTCTATGTTGTGCATTGTTATTCACTTATTGTTCTTGTTATTGTTTATGTTGTGTTGCCCAAGTGACTTGAGTTAATGTTGTTGAACTTCTTTTTGGTAGTACTTCCTCTGTTATTCTTTTCGATGATGTCAAAAGGGGGAAGTTATATAGGTGTCAACATGGGAGGAACATAATCGAAGCATGAAAGATGGATCTGCTTCGCAAGGGGAACGTTGCTGATAATGCAGGGAAACATATGAGGAATTTAGTTCTCTGGTTCTCAAGAGATAGCTCTGCTTCGTAGGGGGAACAGTGCTGATAATATGTTGATTATAGGTCTGATCCACAGGAAACATGTGAGGAATCTGGTTCTCAAGAGGAATATCAATTTTGGGTTTGTCATCATCAAAAAGGAGGATATTGATAAGTTATGGTACTTTGAGTTCTGATGATTTGCCAAACAGTCTTGAGGAACCAATTGTGATCAGCTCCTTAGGTTTGGTTCTCATGGGGAATATGACTGATTCGTAGGGGGAACAATATGGAGATCTGGTTCTCAGTGAGAATATCAATTCTAAGTTTGTCGTCGTAAAAAAAGGGGAAATTGATAGGTTACAAGTATCTTGGGAACAAGTACTTTACTTTATGTTTTGATGATCTAACAAACTTACCATCTAGAACCAGATACGAAACCTGTTACACATCTACAAGACCTTGAGATCATAAAGTTCCAGGTTGGGATCCAGCGTGGAATATAACTCAACTCTTCAGAGAGGAAGGAACAGCTGAGGAAACAGGTCGCTATCAATTCCTGAGGAGACTGTATGAAGTCAAATCTCCAGCAGGAAAGTTACTGCCTACACACGCTACTGCACAGGAACAGTGCAACAGTCAACTTTCTATGGAAGGTTTTTTACCTACCTTGCTTACATCATTGTAAGTGATGTCACACACGTATAAATACCATCAAGGAAGGTAAAACAACTTACTTCATGAGAGTACCAGTTAAAGGACCTGAAGCATGCCTAGTACAATCATTCAAGTTAATCGACTCAAGATAATCTGGACAGTGTGCCTTCAGATTCACAGGAACCAAATTAGGGACCAGATACCTTTGTGTTCCCCTGATAGAAGTATAAGTCAACAGTACAGCTAGAAAGCAACTGCAAAAAGTGATTGCCTGCAACAGTGCAGCAGACAGTGCAACAGTCACTTCCCATTAAGAGGAGGCATGTACTAACCAAGATTTGTCATCACTAAGGTGATGGTTTTTGTGGTATAAACCTTATGCAAGGCACAAGATTCAGGTTCAAGACTTGCCAAATCAGAAACGAAAATATTCTCTCAAGTGCAAGAACAACCTCTCTCAAGAACAAAGCTGCTTCAACCTCTAGGACCGGATCCAAGATTGAAGATATCTTAAGTCCTTAGGTTTGTTGAGTCTTTGTTATTTGTTCTTCAATTGTAACTCTTATCTTGCTTTCTTAGAAGCTGTTTTAGGAAACCCAAAACCACAAACCCTCCAAGTTCGTGTCTTGGCTAGAGTTAGTCGAGTTGTAAAGCCTTTGTAATAGAGTTATTACAAAGTGGCTTGTAATAGGGTTATTACAAGTTAGAGTGATTAAAGTCATTGTCACTAGAGAGTGACAAAGTAGCTTGTGGTGAAAGTATCACAAGTTAGTCAAAGTCTTTGTAACTAAAGAGTCACAAAGTAGCTTGTGGTGAGAGTGCCACAAGTTAGTTGAGTTGAATCCTTTGTAATAGAGGTATTATAAAGTGGCTTGTAATAGGTGTTTACAAGTTAGGAGTCGTTTGTAGGGTGCATAAGAATATTGCTGAATAGGGTATATTAGTAATGCTGGTATTAGTTATTCTTGCATTAGTTATACTGGTATTAGTTATGCTGACATATTTCTTATCCATTGTTTGGTTTGATGTATTAAAACATTGCACAATTTCTAAAAGAATTGTTTGTTTACAAAAATACCCTCAAAACTAGTTCACACTCTAACTTTTTAAAAGAAATATATGTTGAGAAATATTTTTATATGAAAAAGTTTACAAAAAATTATTTGATTTGTCTACCTATGTTGAAAAATAAAATTAAATATTTATTTATAAAAAAAAATGCTAAGTATTTATTTATTTACTAGGGATATAATTTTATTTCTCACCATTAAAACTCATTGCATTGTTAATACCATTGTTTTCTATGCATTAGTTATGCATAGGATAATACCAAATAGGATGTATAGCTAATGCTTGCATAACTAATGCATAAGTTCATAATGTGTACCAAACAATGTATTATTAATACACAAAGCTAATGCATGCATTATTTTATCTAATGCATCCTACCAAACGACCCCTTAGTGAAGTTGAAAACCTACAAGTGCAGGTCGTGGTTTTTGTCCCTTTAGGTTGGGATTTTTCCACGTAAAAATCTTCTGTATTCTTTACTTACTGCCGAGCTACTATGGTAACAATTAGAGAACCTGATTCCCTGTACTGATTTGTTGCACAGCCTGTTGCTTACAGTAGGAACTGCTAGAGAATCTGGTTCTCTATACAGTGGGAACTTATCTTGTGTCTCATCTACATGCTGGTTCCGCAGCTAGCACTGTACCAAACTGATATAGGACCAGATCGCTATACAGTTCGGTTCCTCAGTAGCTTCAGTGGAAACTCATAGAGAACCTGGTTCTCTATGTAGTCTGGTGGACGCTTAGTTTCTAACACAAAGTTTCTGGAGTTTATAAGTGACAATGTAAGAAACCTCAGTACCTCTTTTTCATTTTGCTATGCAGTCCTTATATGATATTACTTATCTAACAATATCTCTTACAAAAGCAACTTCGGATTAGTAGTTAATAATCACAAGAAAATATCAATCAAGTTTATAATCCACGTTATGCGTTTTAATTTATTATTAGATTTTGGTGAGTCCAACTCTCTAATCAAGAGAAAAATTTCATGCTCATAAACAGTAAGCTATTTTAGTACTCCACAAATTAGTAATCTAATCAATTCATTATAGGATTGGTAGAAAAGTTTACGTAATAATTATTGCCGCAAGTAAGTATGTCATGATATCTTTTATCAATTTTAGCATATATCATTCAGCTTAAAGTTATGATTCAAAGTTTCACTGTAATCATATATACCTGGGAATTGCTCTGGAATTAATCTCACCTTTTCACGGCAAGACATTTCATTTTTCTTACTCCATCAGATAATATCAAGTATATCTCTGTTGGGAAGAAGACAAAACCTGACTGGCGCAAATAATCTCAATTTGTTAGAGACTCGTGCTGATAACGTGTTACGAAACTTAGCTCAAAGCAATAAAACAAGAAAATAGACAAGAATGTAGGGAGTAATAGAGAAGAGATTCTTATTTCTTCCATGTATTCAAGTGTGTACAAAGTGATTCCCAAACCCTCTATTTATAGGATGATATTGAGGTAATACAAAGGGATGTGATGAACATAGTATTAACTATTGAGATCATAGGGAAGATTATGGAGGAGGTTATGGAAATGTGAGAGTTACAACTGTAATGGTAAGAAGTAGTGGAAGATTAATGGAGAAAAGTAATGGGAGTTATACTTGATTAGTAGACATTCATATAATATGTATTTCATAATAAAAGAATCAAATTTGTCCTTGTACTATTTGAAATTAACTAACTTCGGCCATCATTAAATTCTTGTTTTAATATTACCTCCGCCAATGATTCTAACGAAGCGCCAACTTGATGGTAATTTTAAAGCATAATTAATAAAGTTAAGAAGTAAATTTGAATTTTCTTTTTTGAAAAAGTCGGACATGTAAAGTTGGGGGCAGAGCTAGCCCATCGACTACGTGTTCGGCTTAGTCGCTTTGGTTCAGACTATATATTTATCTTAAAAAATTATAATTGAATAAGTTTTAAACTCCGAACTCATAAACTCTAAATCCTGGCTTCGATCTGTGTGAAGTCCACTAGTTATTTCACATTGGAACTTTATTAATAGCAATGAAAACTAGAAATATTTGCAAATGTTAAAAATATAAACAAATTGAACAATTCTAAGTATTACAGCTAATTATTAAAACCTTTTTCTTTTAGAAAATTTAGTGTAGAATTAATAGGAAAATCAATGGAGTCCCGAATATACGCGTATGTATTTCTGTCCGTTTGTATTTCCCCCAACATTTTACCCTTATATGTGCACTTCTATACACGTATAGCGCAACGCATAATCTCCGAGATCCGAAATTGCGGTTTTCATTGTTCTTTTTCTTCATTTCCTCCTCCTCAGACTCAGAAGCAGTACTTATTGTTTTGTTTTTCTCTCTTTCACTCGTACGCAAATTCTAGGAGCAAAAGGTGAGAAAAATGACCTTTTCTTAATTACAATTTTTACGTCTTGTTCATTGTATAAGGTTTCCCTTTCGTATTCATTCTATTACTGCTTGAGAGTTGAAATTCAGCTGGTGCATGTATCGATCGTACGTAATTGCTCTCTCAACTGTGGGCCATTTTATGTATTAAAAATTAACGGTCATCTGTTATGCATTCGTTTGTCCATTTCCCATCCTTGTTTACGTAATATAATAACACCTATTGATTTTACATTAATTGGTTAATGGGATTGATTTTGGAAGGGGAACCTTGTCGTAATTGGTAAAGTTGATGTCACGTAACCAGGAGGTTACGGGTTTGCCGTGGAAACAGCCTCTTGCGGAAATGCATGGTAAGGCTGCGTACAATAGACCCTTGTGGCCGACCCTTCGCGGGAGCTTAGTGCACTAGGTTAATAGGATTGATTTTCTTTATTTTTTCATTTTTAATGTGGTATGCATTGATCAATAATGCTTGAGTGAGGAATGTCATTCGAAATCTTTTAGTTGAATCATGAGCAAATTTTGGAATATGTTTCCTGAAAATCTGATTATGTATTGGAATATGCTTGAGTGGGGTAACATTTGTTGCTAACTTGTTAATTCCCTTAACAGTTGTAAGAAATGGCAGACGTTGATGACATTCAACCACTTGTTTGTGATAATGGAACCGGTATGGTCAAGGTAATGAATTGACAATCAATTGTTATCATTCTGCTTTCAATGTCCTCATTTATCCTAGTTGTTTATCTTTTATTTGAAATCGAAGCAATGAATGGTCAAAGAAATTCGAAAATCCGTTCTCACCTGTAGTTTTTGTGGTTCATAGGCTGGTTTTGCTGGAGATGATGCCCCAAGGGCTGTTTTTCCAAGCATTGTTGGGCGTCCTCGTCACACTGGAGTGATGGTTGGAATGGGGCAGAAGGATGCCTATGTTGGGGACGAAGCCCAGTCAAAACGTGGTATTCTGTCGTTGAAGTATCCTATTGAACATGGTATAGTGAATAACTGGGATGACATGGAGAAGATTTGGCACCACACCTTCTACAATGAGCTTCGAGTTGCTCCAGAAGAGCATCCTGTTCTGCTTACTGAAGCACCTCTCAATCCAAAGGCCAATCGTGAGAAAATGACTCAAATAATGTTCGAAACCTTCAATTGCCCTGCAATGTATGTTGCAATTCAAGCTGTTCTGTCTTTATATGCTAGTGGTCGTACTACTGGTAAGATATTCACATTCTGCACTTTCTTTTTTGATGTTGATCGCATTCAATTTATCTGTAATAAAATATCCACTCAAACTAGCAATGGATCTCATGGATATTGGTATCATCACTTATGTGGGAGTTAGCCAGTAGAGGTTATATGGCTTACAATGACCCCTGTATTGAGGATTTTTGTTCAAAATCAGATGATTGTGATTGTCATTATTTATTATTGATAAATAATAACTGTGTGTATGGATGGAGAAGTGTTGGAAACGATGGGGAAATTTACGGAATGAATTTTACTTTGTTACAGTTGAGGATTGATTGATCTAGGTTATTGAACAAATAGTATGGTATGTATTAACATAAATCAAATCCGGGCAAGATAGTAAGAAGACGTGACTTGGGGTGGTTCAGTTATTTAAATTGTGCAGACTGTTAAGATATAGTAATACATTGAGGATCATTCACGATTCTTGACTGCCTGAAATCTGTGTGGTTTCTTGTAGGTATTGTTTTGGATTCCGGAGATGGTGTTAGCCACACAGTTCCAATCTATGAAGGTTACGCGCTTCCGCATGCGATCCTACGTCTTGACCTTGCTGGCCGTGACCTCACAGAGCATTTGGCAAAAATCCTCACCGAACGTGGATACTCATTCACCACCAGTGCTGAGAAGGAAATTGTTAGGGACATGAAGGAGAAGCTAGCATACATTGCTCTTGATTTTGAACAGGAGTTGGATATGGTTAAGTCAAGCAGTACTGTTGAGAAGAACTTTGAATTGCCAGATGGCCAAGTGATTACCATTGGAGCAGAGCGTTTCCGATGCCCAGAGGTGTTGTTCCAGCCTTCCACCATTGGAATGGAAGCTGCTGGTATCCACGAGACAACATACAATTCTATAATGAAGTGTGATGTGGATATCAGGAAGGATCTCTACGGGAATATCGTACTTAGTGGTGGATCCACTATGTTTCCTGGTATTGCTGACAGAATGAGCAAGGAAATCACCGCCTTAGCACCTAGCAGCATGAAGATTAAGGTGGTGGCTCCCCCTGAAAGGAAGTATAGTGTTTGGATTGGAGGTTCCATCTTGGCATCCCTCAGTACCTTCCAGCAGGTAAGCGTTTTTATTCAATGTTATACTATACCAGAAGTTGCTTTAGTTTTCGATTAGTTTACCATTAGTCATTATGTTAGTGATGATGCTTAACATATTTTTCTTCTTTGAAATGTAGATGTGGATTGCTAAGGCAGAGTTCGATGAGTCTGGCCCCTCAATCGTGCATAGGAAGTGCTTCTAATGAGATAAAGATAATCTGTCTCTCTGATAGCTATTCCTATGTTCTTTTTGATTTGTTTCTGGATAGCAGCTTTTAGATAGTTATTGGTTGTGGACTGTGTTCTGGTCTCTAGTTTTGTTTCATTGTCAATGATGATGTTGTCGTATTTCCATGTCCTCATTTTTCTCTTTGTTTCTAATATAGTAACATTTTAAGAGGACGAATGTAATAAATTGTTCCAACTCAGTACTTGAAGTGATCTTTTTATTAATGCATTGTTCAAGGAAGTTCTGTTATATTTTATGGTTTTTAATCTTTGTCGGGAAACTGAGGCCTGCTATTTCCCAGCCTTCTTTGGATTTTATTTTGGAGAAATCCATATAATTCAGATTTGAAGGCAAGTCATTAATTCAGGTCTTGTACTCTACAAGGGGCAAAGAATACCGCCTGGGAGACAACAATATGGGGCTCAAGTAATTCAATTAGTGAAGCCCTTCTTATTTGTGAACTCAGCCATGAATTCCATCTTTTGAAGCTCTTCTTTATGTGCTAACTCTAGCCCTTGAGATTGTGTGCATGGACCATGAACTTTGTCAGTTTATTTCCCCCGGTAGTGGCACACATCAGTTCACGTAAATTATTTGGGCTAGGCGTCTATTGTATGTAGGTGCAGCTCGGTAATGATTCGTTCGGTTGGGAGTTGCTTCCTAGTGTTGTTCTAAAGCTCAAAGAGGGCGCTTCGCCTCGCTTAAGCTGCACTTTAGTGTAGGCAAGGCACTAAGGCGCGTGCCTCAATGCCCATGAGTCATATCTTGAAGCGAGTGGTACTAAACAATAAATATTATCAGCAAATAAGTGAATTTGCTTCTCTTTTCGTGAATTACATATGTATTTTATTTATTCCCGTAGTTGCACATTGCGCTTAAAGCCGCAAGCAATCTGGAGCGCTTTATAGAGCTTTTCGCTTTTGGCAACACTGCCTCGTGGAGTTGCTTTCTTCGACAATGCCAAGATTTTCTCCTGTAAGCCTTGGGTTTCCTTGCAGATGGAAACACACTGGCTTTCCATATGCTTTAGGTGTTTGGCCTGTTCTAAGGCTAATGCAGCTTAAGCAGCTATCTATCCAACTTGATCTTTTGTAAAGAATGTAGGATGAAGTTAGTAGTAGTTAGTTAACTTAATAATTGCCGTCTCCGGAAAATTTCGCTAAGTCATTTAAGATTTCGTGGTGCCAAGGTAGGCTAATTATTTTATTTTGTGTGCAAATGAGGATTATTAATATGATGGATATCAATTGGATATGGTAATAAGTGTATAAATCGTATTACAAGTGATTTGGGGTCTAAGGAGAGGCCTAAATCTAAGCCAAGTTGGAAAATTACATGATAGACTAAAATTTCAAATGAGTACGCACAAGACCAAACTTTGGACGAGCATATCTACATATATATAAAGATCTATGTGATTCACAACCTATCAAATTAAAGCTCTTTGAGTCTAGTTTCCAATGCATCAAACCGTTCCTCATTTGGATATGTATACAAAAAGTTATGACCATTTTACTGGATCTGTGTCATATGCGCGGCCGCGCATATTTGAAAGTTTTTGCCTTGTGTGCGCGGTCCGTGCGCGACCGCGCACATAGCAGCCCTACAAATACCCCCAAGACCGGGTATGGAGGGTCTCTAAGTCATTTTTTGAGCTAGGGCTTGCTCCATCAAGGGGAATTCGTTCCATACTTCCCTCCCATAAACCAAGGTAATGTTTTTGAAGTATTTTAAGTTGATTTCTACTCCTAAACACTTATATTCACAAGGATTAATCTTGAAAATCCATAGGTTTCCATTCAAATCCCCAAATTGGTCAAGAACACTACAAGTGGGGATTCTCAAGATTCTTACTACAAGAGGTATGTCTACCATCTCTAACTACTCTATGGTGATTATTTATGTATGAAACATATGTTAGGACTTATGGGATGGTGATTGGAAGCCATAAACCTAGGTTGTGTTGGTGTTGTAAAGAATGTGAAATAGGTTAATCAAGGAGATTGATGGTTTGGGTATGAATGTTGGGCATGCATGTGCTAATGGAAGTTGTTGATAGCCTAGAGATGACGGTAAGGTGAATCATTGGTATGGAAGGTGGTTGTTAGCTGAAGAAGTTCCGTTGAGGGAGGTTGTAGAAAGATATGCACACTAGTTGTTTGATAAAAAGTCTAAATGACTTAAAGTATAGAAATCTTACTAATATTGGTACAAATGTGCTGCATTGTTGTAGATTGAAGTTGTTTAGTGTGGTGGACGTCGTAGCATTACTAAGGGGCAAATCTCAAGTATGTTGGCTAAACTTTCTCTCCTAGAATCGAATTCCATAAATATTTCCATAAGTTCAAGTATGGTTGACTCAAAATTCCTAATTTCTATATTCTGGGTTATTACCTATAAACTTGACTATTCCGAAATGAGCCTTATGAATGAAGATATATGATCAAAGTATGGGTTGCGTATTAAAATGTTACGGCTTTGCGTCGTGTTTCAAATAAAGGCTAGTATGTCAAATTGTGTGTTGCGCTCTTTGGGGGAAAGTATTTCAAGAATTAAATGGTGTTACTTGTCTATGATTTTAACATGTGCTTCGATTGCTAATCATTTTACTCCATTTATTGGAAAGAAATCTATTGTGTTTAAGTCTTCATTTCTAATGAACTTAAGGTTATGATTTCTGGATTATTCTATATTTATGATGATGATCCATGAAAGAAAAGAAATAAAAGTGTGGAATATGAAATACGACCATTGTGCCATGAAAGAAGAATCGTATGTATGGCCAAAAGAGCAAATAAAGTAATGATGTTGTGAGTAGCTAAAGGTACCAATGAAACTAAGTACGATATGAAAGGTTTATTGTGTATAATGTGTGAACCCTATGGACGGGCTATGAAACATGTAGGTGTATAAAATAATATGTGAATCCTATGGACGGGCTATGAAACGCATAAGTGTATAATATAATATGTGAATATTATGGACGGGCTATGAAATGCGTAGGTGTATAAAATAATATGTGAATCCTATGGACGGGCTATGAAACGCATAAGTGTATAATATAATATGTGAATATTATGGACGGGCTATGAAATGCGTAGGTGTATAAAATAATATGTGAATCCTATGGACGGGCTATGAAACGCATAAGTGTATAATATAATATGTGAATATTATGGACGGGCTATGAAATGCGTAGGTGTATAAAATAATATGTGAATCCTATGGACGGGCTATGAAATGCATAGGTGTATAATATAATATGTGAATTCTATGGATGAGCTATGAAACGCATAGATGTATAATATAATATGTGAATCCTATGGACGGGATATGAAATGCATAGATGTATAATATAATATGTGAACCTTATGGGCGGGCTATGAAACACATAGGTGTATAATGTAATATGTAAGTCTTACAAACGGTCTATAAAACGTATATGTGCATAATAAGAAAGGACCGAATGGTTTGGCGAGATGCCTATTTAACACAAATGGTAGATGGTTTTTTTATTGCCCTTGCATATACATGTTATTGTGATTACATTATATTTTGTATCTCACGTATAGTTCATATGGCTGAATTGATCCCAAGGAAGTTTAGGTGAGGTAAGTATAATAAAAACTTGAAATGTAAATTTATGGGACATTTTATAGTTGCTTGACATGCTATGATTTCCTTTCTTACGTGGTTATTCTATTTTGGAAGATGACTTCTAGCTATATATACTAGTACTATTCGACGGCATTAATGTCCCTTTTGCTGGGGGCGCCGTATCTTTAATTGATACAGGTGGTCCCACAGCAGGCGACATTGATCAGTGATAGCAGTATACTATTTCCAGCTGACTTGGTGAGCCCCACTTCATTTCGGGGTCTTGTATCTTATGTTTCTTATATACTTTGTATTTTGAGGTATGACCGGAGCCTTATTACCGGTATTTCCATATTACTCTCCAGTTGTATTTAGAGGCTCTGTAGGCAGGTTGTGGTTGGTGTTTGATATTGGGAATTGAACTAGAAATGTTGGTATTTGGTAAACATGTTCTTAATGAATCTATAAACTTGTAATATTTTGAGAATTATCAATGAAGTTGCCAATGTAAATGAAACGAGAGTTGTTAATGAAATATTGTTAAAATATGATTAATGGAGTACATCTCTTCTTTATTCAAAGATGAAATTTGGTAGAATGAAATCTAACATGCTTGCTCAGTCGGGTTTACTCGGTTGAATGCCGGTCGCGCTCCTCGGTTTTGGGGCGTGACACTGGCAGTACAGTTGGCACCATTAGTTGGTTAGATTAGTTATATACAATAGCCTTAGATTTCATTATTCTCTATTCGTTCATTTTGAGCATTGTACTGAAGAACAGAGCAAATTTCTTCTCTCTAAAATTCTCTCTTTCGATTCTTCATCTCTGATTTCTCTACTTGAGATGTATGCCATTGACAAATTCATCATAGTATCAGAGCATTTAAATGAGTGATTCTAGGGAATTTTGCGTGCAATTGAAGGAAAATTTGAGAGAATCTACTCAAATCCAGATATTTTGAACCCTAATTTTGCACATTTCAATGGCAATTCCTGAAAATTCAACAATTAATGCAAATAATGGAGTTGGATCTGGGGTTGGAGCGGTCGGTAGCTCAGTTGTTCTAGATCACAATCATCATCTCTACCTACACACTTTAGATGGTCCCGGATCTATGTCGGTGGGATTGATTTTGACAGGGATGGAAAATTATTATCTCTGGAGTCGTGCGATGAAGGTCGCACTGTTAGGGAAGAATAAGTTGTGTCTAGTTGATGGATTGACATCAAAGGAACAATTTGGTGCAGATTTGGAAAGTCAATGGGATCGATGTAATGCCATTGTTACTTCGTGACTTATGAGCAATGTAAGTAGAGAATTGGTCACACGAGTATTATTTTTCTCTAATGCACAGAAGGTATGGGCTGCCTTCAAGGAGCGATTTGACAAAGTGAATGGATAGAGATTGTACTACTTGCACAAGGAGATATTCACCCTAACACATGGGATTTCATCAGTATTGACATATTTCAACAAACTGAAGGATCTCTAGGCAGAATATGATTCGATACTGCCACCTCCTCCATCTGCCACATAATACATTGATCAATTGGAGTATCAGCGGTTGCTGTAGTTTTTAATGGGACTGAATGATAACTTTGATCAAGCAAGGAGCCAAATCTTATTGATGCCGACCTTGCCATCTATAGATAAG